TGATGAGCACCTGATTAGCAATATGATAAGATTATGTAGAAGGAGAAAGGAGAAATAAAAAATAAAATATAAAACAATAAATACAAATACATTAGGTAGCGTGGGGATATATTGGGTATCTAATATTGGTATCATATCCTGTTGAATTCTAACCCAGCTCCCCCATAGGATAAGAAATCATGTATTGGATAGAATAAAATGAGACAAGAGGATAAGCTAATCATATCATATTGACTAGGGGTGTTAACGGGCTGAGCCGAGCCGAGCCGAGCTTTGGTCTCAAAAGGCTAAGCCTGTATTTAAATGTGTCGGCCTTACCAAGCCTGTTACCTGTTACGAATATAATTATCGGCCTGTGACCTGCCTTATTTACAAAAATAAAAGCCTGATTTAGTCTGTTAGCCTGTTTAAAAGAAATAAGACAACAAAAAATTATCCAAACAAAATATACAATCAACAACACTAGTAACTCCATAAATATTCATAAATTTAATGTATATCCAAACAGCATAATATAGAAAAAAATCATTCAAAAAGTCTATTTAACTATAAATATGGGTGAAATGGATTGAGGAGAGAGAGAGGACTATTACAAATAGTATAAGTTTGTAAACAGATCTTTCTTCATTTATAAAATTTTTATTTATAAACTCTTAATAAAAAAAATTTTGGTAGATTAAACTCTTATAAATTTATTTATGTATTTTGGGGAATTTGTATTCTTCAAAATACAAATATTTGTTTGTTTGGGATTTATAATTATTGTTATTATTATTTTATTATTATTTCTGATTCAGAGGACAATCAATTCAATTTGAGGAGGCACATATTGTTTCAGACCATCCGTATACCATTTAGCAGTGCCACGACGCCGTTCTCTAATCCAAGGCCTAAACATCAGGTGAACAATTATCCACATAATATGAAGAGAGAGGATCCACAACAAACAACAATCTTGTTGAGATTAGGAGCATTCTCAACTATGCTGATCAGCAGCAACTCAATTTGACTTGTGTCTGTCTCTTCTATATCCTCTGATACTCCTAACTCTTTTAGCTTCGGGAACTCACATTTCAGATTAGCTTCCCACTCCTCCTCAGGCTTCACTTTACACCTAAAGAACTGCCATATCACACCTACACACACAGCTGAAACTGATTGATATTAACATAATTCCTACTGTACTGATATCAGCATATACATGCAGCATCATCAAAAATATGAAAGTGTTTCACATATGAAAGAGCAATATACCACGATTCTTTCAACATACAACTTCTGATTAAATGCCCGCAAAAATAACATCCTTCACTATATAAGTATGAAAGGAAAAATTAAAAATAAAAGGAATTCGAAAGCATCCTTCATTGCCCTTTCTATCAAAACCCCCCCTTCCCCAAAATTATAATTATAAAAGGTTAAAAATATATTAGACTAGTTTAGGGGTGTCTTTTCCTCACAAGAAAGACAAACTTATTTCATTTTCAGATACTGATCGATAACTAAGTAAAAGATAGAAATTTATGCACACATAAAAGTTAAAAAGGAACCTTAATTAGTGCAGCATCATCCCCTCTTCTGCAGTTCCTCCAATCTCTCCTATAAGAATGTTACCTGAATTGCACAGACAAACAGCAATGATAAATGACCCTGTGTCATCAAACCTATAAGAATAATTCATTATGCAAATAAGCTATTCGCAGAATACATCACCAGGGTTCAGCGGATAAAAAGAACACCCAGATGACACATTGAGTGACATTCATAGCATATCCAATCATCCATTAGTTCTGATACACTACATAAGTATAGGTATCTAAATCTACAATTTCTTTAGTTAATTGACATTATTGTCCAAGGTAACCTCAATCTGTTATTACAACCATGCCTTCTTTCTTAAACGTCTAGCACGCCATGTTTAATCTCAACAAACCCTTTTCTAAAGTGCGCCATGCTTTTTATTTTTAATAGTAAATTGCAAAAGACTCGGTGTATCATATTGAGTTACAATGTCAACAATGTTAAAAGTATCCTAATTTGCAAAAGACTAATTGAAAAGGAAGCCGTGAATTTTTCAATTGAAGTAAGAAATAAAAGCCTAAATTTCATGAATGAGATTATTCCAGATTTATTTTGCATTTTTAACTTAAAAAAAAGGTTATTTTTTCTGCGACTGTTGTAGATGAGTTATCTGCAATGAGCCCAAAACGATATTGTTTTAGGGCAGAATTAAGATATTTTTATAATTATAATTTATTTCAGTGTTATAATAGTCTTTGTCATTATAATTTTTGAATCTTTCAACCTAAAATAACGTTTTGGAAGTGAATATAGATAATTTATCTACGTTCAAAACAACAGAAATATTAAAGCCTTAAAAAAAACAAAAAACAAAATAAAAAATAACAAAATAAAACATAGAAAGTATAACAAAAGAACAAGAAAAAGAGAGAAATACACCCAATGGGTGCAGCTCAGTTGGTAACTTGGCGCTGAGTTAGTGGGGTTGGATATGTGTTCGATTCCCGCTGAATGTATTCTTGGGGAGGGGGCTGAACCTTTAGCCATCACTGTTCCCCCGCACTCCGAATTAGTTCCATAGCCGGCTCAAAGAGTCGAAACTCGTGGGGATACCGGAGGGAGCCAACTCGTCTCAAAGAGATAATTAGGGTTGGGTAACTCCAAAAAAAAGAATAGTTATTTAATTATTTTCTTTATTAATACAGATTTTTCAAATTGATTTTTGAGTTTAAATCACAAATTAAATCTTTATTTTATTTTTCTTATTAATAATAATTTTTAAATTTTTTTGTAATACACTATATAATACAATTATTACAAATTTGAATTGTATTTGTGAGAGATAAAATGTATCAAATGAGATGTCATTGCGTAGATCTCAAAAAGTTATGTGGAATTAAATTTTTTTTTACCTCATTCTGAGACTCGAGTCAAAAGTTATGGCTTTCCAAAGTTTTACGGTTCGTAAGTGGACTTTTTTTGTCACGTGTCAACACCAGATGATTTACGCTTACGCCTAATTTGGGCGTGAATAGTCATGCCTAATTTGGGTGTGAATGAGTCCAATAGATTCGTAAATAGTTTCGAAACAACTATGTATTCGTAATTATTTATTAAAATAATAATATTTTATTTTTTTTGCCTTATGAATAATGACTATACTGAAGTAAAAAGAGAAAGAAAACCTTGTCAAATCTTTTATTTTTTTTCGGATTAAAAACGGCATGATCTGCCGTGTACAGTAATTACAAGAATTTGATTTTAATATAATCACATTCAAAATAATTTACAATCTCACATTATCACCACCAAATCATACGATACTAACTATTTAAACATGACATATAGAGAAAAAAAATATACTAGAACAAAAAAGGAAATTAATTAATATTAAGTATGTATAACAGAATATACTTATTCAAAATAAAAACGGATGGCTAAAAAAAAAATCTTAAAAAAAGTGGCTCACTAAATGTATAAAAAAAAAAATAAACTTATTGATAATAAAAATGAATAGTAAAAATAAAAAATTATAATAATTATTTTATTTCATATTTCTTCCTCGATCGGTTTCTATTCTGATAAACATCATGTATTATTGTTTTCAAATAATTTTTGAAACATTTGATGCACACAAATAATGTCATCTATTTACGATGAAATTGTGAAATGTAAGTATGCACAAAGTAAATATCGGGTCAAAGTTTCTACTAAAAAAAAAAAAAAAATTCGGTCGAAGTAAAAAACTAAAAATATTCAGTCAAAGACCAATTGAAAGGAAAATTAGCTTATTATGTAGGTTTCTTAATAGTAATAAATTTTTAAAGATATAAGAATAATAATTTTTAAACACCCACTGTTGTATAATAATTGTATTTACAATTAAAAAAAAAGGTACCTATACGATTATTAGATTAAACCTCTTCAATCCAACAATCAATAAAATTCATCGGATACCACAATTATCAATTTTCTGATACGATAATTTATTAGCTGATATATATTTTTTTTTTCCGATACCAATAAAAGTACCTATACGATTGTATTTTTTTTTCCTCTTCAACAATTAGTTGGCTCAAATAATAATCAAATCTTGTAGGATATCAGGGAAACTAACTCTACTCAAAGAATAACTCAAAAAAAATATATTTTATATTCTTATTGTGTTTGAAGGCGCATGTGCTCTTAGGAGAGTGATAAAACCCAGCAACAAGCGAGACTGAGATGAGATGAGTCTTTTCTTTTCTACCGGGTTTGGTTGGTTAACGTGGTTTCTGAACCGTTGTTATGTTACACTGATAGGTTGTCGCATTCTTGATCGTTTTCTTGGCTTCTTGTCATACGGTTATATACGGCGTTCTTGATCGTTTTCTTATAGCTCTGAACTGTAGTTGAAGATGTTACACTGTACTAAGGTTGTCGTGTCTCAGAATCAGTCTCCAATGGAGGTTGAAGATGTTAAGCATCGGGAACAGGAAAAGAAAGCTTCTTGTCAATGAAAGAGTCGAGGTAATGCTATATAGTTTTTTTTTTTTTTAAATAAAGATATGGTATTCTTTTGTTCATGAATTTCTGGGGTCGTGATTTCGTTTATGTTTTGTACTTTTTCGTTATCTTTTCAATGCTATGTAGTTCTTTCTTTTAAAAAAATAAATAAAGATATGATCTTTTTTATTTATGAATTTCTTGGGTCAATTTCGGGTCTGCTTTGTAGTGTACTTTTCTGTGTTCTTACAGGTAATCTTTTGGGTTCTTTGTTTTCTTAGATTACACAATTGGTCTATTGTTGTTACGCCAATAATTCTATAAATCTTTTAAAGTTTTTATGGGCTCTAATTTATTGTGTTTTGTATCTTTGTTTACAACTCTTTGATGTCCTGTTTTGTTTACAACTCTTCGATGTCCTGTTGTCAATTTATGGTTACAATATGTTTCCACGATGAAAACCCTTCTGATTGTTGGCTTCATGATTGAACTCCCATTCACGGTTTGCTTTGCTTGTTCATCTTGTGGATGTGGTAGAGGTTTCACCCGTTTTGGATGGTGGTAGTTCTTCTTCTTTTTCTTCTGCAGATGGTTGCAATGAACGTGGGCTCATTAGACCACTGCCTCCTCTGATTGAATTGGGGGTATGGGACCTTCCATTTGGTCTATGTGTTGATGCATTTTATGAGGAAGCTCGGTGGGAAGGTGTTATATTTGATCACTGCAATGGAATGGAAGAAAGGAGCATATTCTTCCCAGATTTGGGTGATGAACTGAAGATTGGAATTGATCAATTGAGGATCACTCAAGATTGGAATGAAGCTACTGAGAATTGGGAGCCACGAAGGAAGTGGATGTTTCTTGAAGTGATTGAGGAGTGTGAGCAGTTTTCCTATATTGCAGTTTCATTTAAGCAAATTTGGTATGATTTAAGGAATAGTAACGAATTTGATAAAATAAGGGACTGGACTTGTAATGTGAAAGACTTGTGGAGAGACCTTGTAAGGGAGATAGTTGGTGATTACTTTACTCTCACGCTAGAAGAAGTTTACAAAGTCTTGGACTTTTCAGGTGCTTTCTTGAAAGAAACACCAGAGCTGGAGTCAGTTGAACATACTGATATTGTTCATTGTGATTCTAGTCCTAGTAATGTACTTGGTTCTAAAATTGGAATATCTGATTGCCCAATGGAAAGTGGTGACTCTACGAACTTGCTAGATACCGATCAAAACGGTGGTGGCATCGTTTTCATTCAAGAGAAATATGATACAAATCCTTTGGTCGATGGTGCATCTGAGAAAGAAATTGTGTTGGTAGAAGAACCTGAGTCTCAAAAGGAAATTTCCTGCTATGATGCTGGTGAAGTAATTTCAGATTCTAGCTATAATGAAAGAAGTGAAAAACGTAGACGTCCTACGTCTATATATTGGCAACCTCTGGTGCTATCTGAAGTTGAATTTTGTCCTGATGTTATTAATCAATATGGAGCTGGATGTGAGAGCAAGATGACCAGGGAAGGTTTGAAGACAAAAGCAAGAAAACATCTAGCATATCTTGGATGGAGAATTGAGTGGACTCAACACAAAAATTGTCCTGGGCAAAGACGATACAGGTACATGTCACCAAATAAACAGGACAAGAAGGTTTACTATTCAATTCCTCAAGTTTGTAGTCATCTGAAAAAAGAGTCCAACATGAATTTTGTGCTGTCCCAAAATGACCAGAGTAGGATGCATTCTACAGTTGACAATAATCTTTCAAATCTAGATGTTCATCATCCGATCGGGGCATCCTCTCCTGTCGAAGTTGTAGCTGAATCACATACTCCAGATGGTTTACCAATTGGGAATACAAATCATAAACGCACCACGAAATCAAAGGCCTGCCCACCAAAGCACAAGAGGAATGGATTACCTACAAGGGTGCAGAACGTAAATTCCCCTTGTCTATCACATCAAAATGTTTTGTCTTGGTTAATAGATAGCAACATGGTATTGCCAAGATCTAAGGTCTACTATCGGGGAAAAGGAGGCAAGAACACTCACGACATTGAAGGGGGGGTAACTCTTGATGGAATCAAGTGTAGCTGTTGTCAGAATGTATATAGACCTGGTGGCTTTGCAATTCATGCTAGTGGCTGTTATGACTGCAAGCCTTGTGCTAGTATCTTTTTGAGGGATGGTAGGTCACTCTTGGATTGCATGATACAACTAATGCATAAAAATTGGGATGTTGTGATGTTGGTGGTACTAAAATTGACTTGTTGGCAGAGAGTTACAGCAAACTCAATGCTGCACTTTCAGTGATGCATGAATGTTTCGAGCCCTTGAAGAACCCTTACTCTAACAAAGATCTCATGGATGACGTTATATTCGGTAGAAGGTCAGAAATTCTTATCCTTCAATTCATGTTCATAATATATGTTTAGAATTCTTAGCATATTGTGTTTGTGTCACACTCATTATTCATGCTTAAAACCTCTTGTCTTCATAATTTAAATGATGCTTGGAGTATTGTTTGAGGAGTAAAGCAAGGGATTTTGGTAGTTTGTTTGAAAGATGGTTCTGGTGGGGAAATTCTTTGTCTTCCTGTGCTCATTTGTTTTCAATGTCAAAGGATTTATTTTCTTGGGATTGGGGGTAATCTTGGTAGGTGATTCATAGATATGGGGATTTGTTACATTTAAAACGAAAAGATTGTGTGCAATCTTCACTCATTTAACAGTCATACCAATTACTAACGAATTTGTTTACAAGTATAAATTATCATATGTGATCATAATACCTTTCTCTAAGTTGTGTTGCATTATTGGTATATTCTCTGAGCCAATGCCTGATATTTGTACTTTGTAACTTTGTAGGTCGGAGCTTAATAGATCAAATTTCCAGGGTTTCTATGTTGTAATTATGGAGAGAAATGAAGAATTGGTTAGTGTGGCAACTGTTAGGTGAGTATAGGATATGCTAGTAATAAGTATCTAGTAGATCATGTAATTGCATTTCCTGTTTTAGTTGCAGTTTTTTATACCTAGACATTTCATGATATACTGACTTGCCATTTCATTTTCTAGGATATTTGGACGAAAGGTAGCAGAAGTACCTCTCGTAGCTACCAGATTTATGTATCGTGGACTTGGAATGTGTCGTATTTTAATGGATGAGCTTGAAAAGGTAATATATAAAGCACACAAATTTATGTATGAACACATTGATTTATTGAAAAATTAAAAAAGAAATTACTTCATTGATTCTGTCATATATAATGCAATTTTCTTTTTGGGCAATCACTTAACTGCTCAGCACCCTACTTCATAAAGCTTGGTAGGACTAAAGTAGTGGAAGATTTTTCCTTTTTGAGTCATAAGAACACTCCAATCTCTATTAAAAATTTAGGTTTTATCACTATGCATATAATCGTTTTAACTTCGTCCATATTGTATATCATCATTATAGCGAACCCATTAATTATTTGGAAGTATGTGTTACTGTAGTTTAAGAAATCATTCCCATTTCTTCTAACGTATTAGTATCTTCAAAATTATTTGACTGGAAGCTAAATTTCTGGTTCCTGTGGTTGAACTGTCACTCTTGCATTGCCTTGTCTTTCTCTTTTTCTCAAATTTCTTCTAATCTATTATCTACTATATATATAGCTAGTTCATTGATTTAATTTGCAGCTTTCATATATATATATATATATATATATATATATATATATATATATCTGATCATGGAAGAAAGAGTATATAGCACTATGGAAGACCAAAAAGACCAAAAAAACTTCATACCATATAGTCACTGAAGTTGAAAATGTCTGTATTCAGTTCTGATATAGAATTTGTCTGCTATGTATTGTCATTGAAACTGATTACAATCTCAACTTTTACTTTATTAAAAAAATCCACAGTTCTAGTAATTTCTTTAGTATCGTTTTCTGACTTGAATTTTTCTTTCATCAGAACCTCATGCGACTAGGAGTGGAGAGGATAGTTTTGCCTGTTGTTCCTAATATGCTTGAAACATGGACCAAATCTTTTAAGTTCGTGAAGATGACAAGTTTTGAGAGATCACAGTTTTTGGATTACGCTTTCCTAGATTTTCCAGGAACTGTCATGTGTCAGAAGCTGTTGACAACTCTTCCATCCCAGATTTGACTTTAACAAGAGCTTTGTAAGTTTGTTTAATAAAGTTGACCAACAAGAAGAGATTCACAAGAGTGGAATGATGGATATGCAAGTGGAGGAGTACATCTAAGTTCTAACTATACAATAAAATAAATCTGATATTGTATGGAAGACAGACTGTAATTAATGACAATCTGAACAATTCTTTTAGATGTTAAAGTAAAATTTGTTTTCATGGTAATTGATGTTCTTGCAATCTCTTCAGGGGCATATAACACATGATAATAATAACTTCTCCAACATGGCTTGTCCTGAATTCTTGTATATTTAAATCAGTGACTACTTGAATCAATTCAAACCAAAAATAATAGTGCCAATCAACTAAAATGTATGACAAAAAAATATATTAAACAAGATTCTGAATGCAAGGAATTAATAAGGAAACTCATATTACCCATTCACTTCATGCATTCCCACAAAGGGGAAGGCATCTATTAGTCTACAATTGAAAATTTTGTTCATATAGAGGCCTATCACGTTGCATTTAAAAACACAACTACACAAGTCTGTTATGTCTTCTCTGACTCAAAGCTATGAGTTCTTTATCTTCATTTTGTTTTGTGGCTCACCATGGCTAGCTTTGGCAAGTTGGGTGCTATGCAACAAATGATCAAAGATAGAATCATGCCTGCAAGTGCAGTGTCTGATGACAACATTTTGGTGAAGAAAATAGTGTCAGAGCATAATCCTCATGGACTAGAATATGAGATGTCAAGCCACTTCTCCATACTGTTGATGATATTCGTAGACGTTCTGTCTTGAGTTCTGAAGGTGCTTCAATGGTATGAAGCTAGTTAGTTAGCATAAAAAAGTTTATTTTGAATTTGCTAAGCAAATATTCAAGCCAAACATGAGCAATTTTAGTTTGGTTTTAATTTAGATGTGGATTTGGGTGATATTCTCCTGTATCCTAATTATAACTTGTACTTTCTTTCAGGGTGCCCTTGCATATGTTGATATTCTCCTATATCCTAATTATAACTGAAGGTGCTTCATGCCTTAGCTGCTTTTGCTATGACCTACGATGAATTCTGGCTGCTTGCCCATATTCATGACACAAACCAACTTGCCAAATCAATGGCAATTCTGAAGCAATTACCTAATATCATGGAGCATGCTGGCTCATTGAAACCACGTTTTGATGCACTTAATGATCTAGTTAATGTCATATTGTGGCTTGTGCAGCTCAGATTACCAGCCTGACTACACTTGGCGGCTATGAGTATGTTTTTCCAATCAATTCTCTACTGCTACAAAGTGATACTTAAAGGCATCAAGGAACTGCTGTTCAAGCTTACAGTTAGCCCCTCAACAATTTGACTGTTGTTGAAGCTTACAGTTTCAAAACAAAAATCTATGGGATATGTGTTGTGGACTGTAACTAATGTGGACTCAGTGAATCTGAATGATGAAAATTGTTTCTCGTGTTAGGCCAAAATTCAGATGTCATGTTGCAAGCTTAGGTGAAAACAAGGTTATGAATGTATTTGAACTCTTTTTCCCCCTTGTTATTTATAATGTTATGGAAAATGAGGTCCCCTCGGTTGTATGATGTATTTTTTGCACCTTGTCCACACTCCCAGCTGTATTTCCTGGATTGGGATATTGATTTTATCCTCATATTTTTTGTATAGCATCCATTTTCGACAACTTGACCCAGAAATGATTCTCTTCATTAATAAGGTTGTATAATTGTGAGTCTGGGACCATTGTTTATTATCTTAACTAACAAACATGTTTAGAAATCATAAGAGAAGAAGGTTCAGCACAATGGCCATTTTATTTATTCAACAATGATAGTTTACAGAGATATACTCTACAATAAATTTGTCTGTCACTCAAAAAATTGCACCTTAAGCTAAGCTTATTATGCTAGCCATTTATTGGTAATAAATTGGTCCGTTTTCAATAAGGGGATCGGCCTATACAGTGTATCAATAATCTAGGACTTAAGTTGAAGGGAATAAAAAAAGTGATAGAAAGTTACATCGTTACAAATTTTATTCAGTACCTGCAGATAATTAAAAGTAAAGAAGAATGGAATAAAACGGAGGCGTATTATTCAACCAAAATTCAAGTTCACGAGTTTATCAGGGGCCTCTCATTAGTCCCACCAAAAGGGGCAACCGAAATGACCAAAGTTTTAAACATAAAATGCACCACTCTTGCTCACACAAAATGTTCTAATCATAACAAGAAAATTAAAAAGTCTAAAAGAAATTTTAAAATCTGCAAAATAACATCATAAAGTCCCAAAAGAAGCCTCCAATCCATTGGCATGGGAAAGCTAAATGACCATTGCTTTTGCTACCATCAGAGGACAATCAATTCAATTTGAGGAGGCACATATTGTTTCAGACCATCCGTATACCATTTAGCAGTGCCACGACGCCGTTCTCTAATCCAAGGCCTAAACATCAGGTGAACTATCCACATAATATGAAGAGAGAGGATCCACAACAATCTTGTTGAGATTAGGAGCATTCTCAACTATGCTGATCAGCAGCAACTCAATTTGACTTGTGTCTGTCTCTTCTATATCCTCTGATACTCCTAACTCTTTCAGCTTCGGGAACTCGCATTTCAGATTAGCTTCCCACTCCTCCTCAGGCTTCACATTACACCTAAAGAACTGCCATATCACACCTACACACAGCTAAAACTGATTGATATTAACATAATTCCTACTGTACTGATATCAGCATATACATGCAGCATCATCAAAAATATGAAAGTGTTTCACATATGAAAGAGCAATATACCACGATTCTTTCAACATACAACTTCTGATTAAATGTTACCTGAATTGCACAGACAAACAGCAATGATAAATGACCCTGTGTCATCAAACCTATAAGAATAATTCATTATGCAAATAAGCTATTCGCAGAATACATCACCAGGGTTCAGTGGATAAAAAGAACACCCAGATGACACATTGAGTGACATTCATAGCATATCCAATCATCCATTAGTTCTGATACACTACATAAGTATAGGTATCTAAATCTACAATTTCTTTAGTTATTTGACATTATTGTCCAAGGTAACCTCAATCTGTTATTACAACCATGCCTTCTTTCTTAAACGTCTAGCACGCCATGTTTAATCTCAACAAACTCTTTTCTAAAGTGCGCCATGCTTTTTATTTTTAATAGTAAATTGCAAAAGACTTGGTGTATCATATTGAGTTACAATGTCAACAATGTTAAAAGTATCCTAAACGATCCAAGCCATTCCATCCTACAAAATCTATCCACTTCAACCCCTACTTACTCCCTCATGGGTAAAATAATCTCCATGATTTAGAGCTATCTAAGCAAGCATGTTTGATTAACACAATCCAATCAACAATATCACATATAATGCACCAGAAGACACTATATAACAAAATGCACAAACTGATCAACATATTCGACCCAATTGAACCGCAACAAGTACTACAATAACAAATAAACAAGCAAACCAGTTCAGTAATCCCCATAAATCCCAACCCACATAAATACCCCCCCCCCCCAAATAGTTATCCCCACAAATCCCAATGTAAGCATATTTTCCTCACATAACTCAACTCATGCATATTACTATTCCCTAATAGACCCACCATGCATGATGCCAATGCCCCCCATTTGCAAAATTCCCAAGTTCAGCCAATTCAAGTATTCTAATTCCAATTTTCAAAACCTACAGCTGTATAATAACAAGCAAAAGCACAGACTCAACTCCATTCACTGTAACTCACAAAAAATTTAAAAACAAAAAATCGTATCATTACAAAAAGCATACCAAACGACCAATGCTAAAAACACAAAACTCTGCCCGAACTGAGAATGCCGCGCTATCAGAAAAAAGAATCAAACATAACCGAATTGAAATTGCGAGCAATAATATGAGCAAAACCGAAAACATAATGATCAGAGAGATCAGAGACAAAGCAAAATGATGAAAAAGTAAACATCTCACCTTCCAATTGTAAGACACTCCCTGGTACTTCAATGGAGTACACAAATCTACAGCAATACCCCTCACAGAAAGTTCTGCACCAGACTGGATTAGTCCAAAAAGGACATCCTCATCACTTGCATCCATCAATTCTACAATTTCTGTCACTATAAATAATTAAAACGGCATGATCTCACTTGAACAGCAATTACAATAATTTGATTTTAATATAATCACATTCAAAATAATTTACAATGTTACATTGCCCTCAAATCATACGATACTAACCATTTAAACATGAGATATAGAAGTTTCCAAAAAAAAAAAAAAGGAGATATATAGAAAAAAAAGTATACAAGAAAATAAGGAAATTATTTAATATTAAGTATAACATTATATACTTATTCATAATACAAACGGATGGCTAAAAAACATCTTAAAAAAATGGGTTACAAAATGAATAAAAAAATATATAAACTTATTCAAAATAAAAACAGACAGCCAAAATAAAAAATAAATAATAACTATTTTATTTCCTCTAACTTCCTCCGTTTGTATTCTTTTTTTGGAAACTGATCCTAATTATCTCTTTGAGGCGAATCAGAATCCTCCGGTATTCCCACGGGTTCGACTCTTTGAGCCGCCTATGGGACTAATCCAGAGTTCGAGTGCGAGTCCAAGGATTACGGTACTTATGTCCCTACCCAGATAATGTTGGTGGAATTCGAACCGAGGTCCTCTCCCACCACTCAGTCCCCATGCTACCAACTGAGCCACTACACTTGGTTCCGTTTGTATTCTGATAAACACATGTACGATCATTGTTTTCAAAATATTTTTGAAACATTTAATGGACACAAATATTTCACAAATAATGTCATCTATTTATGATGAAAATGTGAAATATATGTATGGACAAAATAAATATTGGGTCAAAGTAAAAATATTCAGTCAAAGACTAATTGAAAAGGAAGCCGTGAATTTTTCAATTGAAGTAAGAAATAAAAGCCTAAATTTCATGAATGAGA